GCTGACACAAAATATAAATATGAGAAATAAACTAATTTTGTAAAGGGAGATAATCCAAATTTCTAGTAATTACAACTTAGACTTAACAGAAAAATCATGAAAATGGGTCTGAAAACGCCACTGACTTGACCGCACTAGGGAAAGTTCAGACCCATGAAGAAAAATGGCAACACACATCAAACATTAATCCTACCAGAAGTGAAAAAAATTACCCAATCTGCATATTGCAATATGGGAATAAACATATGTCCCATAATGCAACAAAACACCATCTGTTCATGAGACTTATAGGACAAGATAATGTATCATCTATTACAATTCAATTATAATAAAAAAAAATTTCCCCATGTTCTATGAGGGATAGACATATGCCCCCATAATAACAAAATCTGAAGATAACTGTTAAAAGGTATGCATTTCATATGCCCTTCTGGGTATTATCAAATGACTCAGGGACTGATGTGCCTGATAAGGGATAAACATATGCCCCAATATTCACAAAGCATCACATTCCTCGCCGTCTTTTACCAAGTTCACACGTGTGTAGACTCTTCATCTATCAGCTTGAAGTATTAATAATTGACTTATTAAGCAATAATGTGCCTGGTGAGGGATAGACATATGCCCCCATATTAAAAATACATCACACTGTAAATTTCATTGCTGTCTTTTTCCAAAGTTTATATGTGCGCAGTCTTGTCACCTAACAGCCTAAGTATTAACAAATGACTTAAGCACTATTGTTCTGGATGAGGGATAGTCGTATGCCCTCATATGTTAATATTCCTGAAAATCACTTTGAAAACAAGATCCTCAATGAGTAACAAAAGATCTGCCCTGAGGCTCCATTTCCACTCAAGCATATATCAACATGGTGTCACATTTCTAATATAAGATTTAAATGCATCCGATTTCCATCTACCCAGGAATCTAATCTAACTATCACTCATCCCCCTTGATGCACAGTAAGAGGCCATCCCAATTCGAAAGGAATGTCCTTTGAATCTATTGACATCTAAATTACAAAACATGAGACTTTGCTTTAATACATTTGAAAATTCTTGCCTTTTGACTGCAATGTTTGGGGGTAGCAAAAAAGGGGCCCATCACCCCCCCCCCCTCTCATTTTCAAGTAGTGTTCTAATGCCTCAACAGGAGAGTATTTTAAACAATTGCAGGAATTAATTGTAAGAGTAAAAACTTTACCGCCTGAATGTTTATAATTTTGAAAGTGAATCAAAACCTTACTTATCTGAAAAGTAACTTGTGACATTTGTAAGACATGACTGATGTTATTTCTCCTATTCTGAGGAAGCCATGGAAAGCCAATAAAAACATTGCTTGAAATAATACTTTTTTATATATGTTTGATACTGTATGTTCTAATGCATCACAAATTTTATGTAGAACTACTATGGTTATTGGTAAACGGATATCAATTGAAGGTCTCGTTTTGCGACAAGAACTTAATAGTTTTTGAACAAGGAAGCATGACGTATTGTCAGGCAAGTTATTAATTCTATGTATATATGCTATTGATGAAATAAATGACACAATGGAGGAGGCTGCATAACCTTCAGCAAATAAATAAGAGATAAACAAAGCCAAAGTATCCTGAGACAATGGAAGATCATTACTGATATTAAATTTGGTCGCAAAATTTCTATAAATAGACCATGCCCGTTTATATGCCTGAGTGGAAGCTGGTGCCAATGTTGAAGTCAACAGGTTCCTCAAGACAGGTTCCTCTAAGGAGGTAAATTCTGTGAACAATTTTTCCATTGAAGCTAAAATTTACAACAACAAAAAATGAAATTCTTTCAAATGCTATCCCCTCCTACAATTTTGGCTCTATTTTAAAAGAATTTGGCATGCAAGAAGACTATGTCAATAAACATAATATTATGTATCAATTTTTGATTTTGATGAATAGTGTTGCCATTGATACTAAATATCAAAACTTTGACGACTTCTTTTAGAGATATTCCTTTTGTACAAGTTTGCGTTGAGTCAATAAACTTAGTGCAAGTTCGATAAACATAAGATTCTCACTCCTTCAAGGCAACTGATCCCACCTCTGGAATTTCCGGCGGGCCATGTTTTAGGCCCTGTTCACAGTTTGTATTATTATTTTGGCTTTTTATTTATTTATTTTTATCCATCGCTGTTTGTTATTTTCGCCTTTTTCGTGCATAATAATGCCAATTTAAAACTTTTAAAATGCGTTAGAAGTTCAGGTTCTACATTTTTCTTCCACTATTATAAGAACAAACCGGTATTGCTGCAGTCCCATCATGCACTTTTGCTTGATGAGACAATTTTATAAAACGGTAATGCAAAGCAAAGTTTTCTTTTTGTTTTTTTCCCACAAAAGAACTACAATGCAGTTCAGACGAATGTTTCAAAATATTCTTTATTTTCTAAATTTGACTTTAAGTTATCATAGATTGATAGATTATATGCTTTTCTATATATTTTATATGCCTTCTTTATGAACTTTTTGACAGATACTTATTACCAAAATTGTAGAAGTTCCCACTCCTTCCAAGGTAATAAAACGACACGGCAAACATATTATTACTTATTATATAAACAACAAATTCTATATTTTATCTCAAAAGGTGAATAATGAAAGCAACTTCTTTTGTTTTATGTAGATATTTTGAACACATACTTAACTCAGGCATCCCATTTACCCGGAGCAACATCTAGTATACAATGTCATAGTCGTAACAAAGGTACGTTCAGAATACCAGGATCAAAGAAATATTGGAAAACAGATATGTATATCTAAGTGCATTTCATGAAATTCAGTTATTCTTTTTAACTTACAACTGTATCAACTGTAATATTAGGAAACGCCGAAAAATTGAATCAGTAAAATTACTATTTAGTTTTAATCAGTGGAGAGCTAAAATAGTCTTTTTAATTTGCTTTTAATTCATTATATATGTATATATTTAAATAATTTGATTCTGTTAATAACCCGTATTTGATTGGATAAAAAATTTACTTTATATCGTATAAATTGGGTTGCCTACGTCATAATGACTTGCGTCAAGAGCGTATCGATCTGCCTGACGTTACGTTTAAATTTTGTACAATTTGAAGTCATTTTTAAGGGCAGTCATCTTTTTTTTTACACTAAATAAATGAAAATTAAATTATAAGGGATGAAATTAATAGTTACCCAATTTATAAGGTATAAGGTGGGTTGGAACAGATTACGCATTTTTATAAATCGCTTTGCGGTTTATAAAGCGTAAACTGCCCCAACCCTCTTTCAGTGATTTGAAAAATGTGAAGAAGTCAGCATTGTAACCCAGAAGCTTCTTTTATGGCTTTTAAGATCAAAGGATACCTAAAAATCCAGATAAAGTGGGTTGTTATCTTAAACTTCTTGTATTCTCTTTTTTAAATTCAATTTATTTGTTACATGATAAATTAAATTAGATTTAATTTCACTTCTGAAGAAGTCCATTTTTTCCGTGAATTTTAATACAGGTATAAAGTAGGAATAGCAATCGAATACAGAATTGTTAATTTGTCAGCCGCAAGATGTTTCGACCGATTAACCGGTTAATTGTATCAAAATGCACATTTTTCTGATTTTTTTTTCAAGTAAACGCTATTGATATACACAAGAAAAAAGAAAAAAACATAAGTAATATGCTTACAATACGCACAGTATATATTTTATTTAAATTTCAAAGGGAAAAATTACAATGTAAGAAAACCATGAAACATCCCCGAACATATCAAACACATTGAAAATTTTTCGAACCAGGTCATTCTGCAGTTTCACCATTAAAAAGAACTGAGTCTGAACTATCATTTAATTTACAATATTTGTTTAAAAATAATGAAATGTAATCAATTCACAGTACTATATAATGATTTTATAAATATCAAAAAAACAAAACAAAAACAGGACAGGCTGGGTAAATACATGGCAATAACATTTTACAAACTGACCAATTACCCTAAAGATCTCAATCCAGAGAACCTTAATTAATTACGGCCAAATCAATTGAAATACTGTAGATGTACTTAAAAATGCGGGCTTCATATTTTAGCGGCTTTGGCGCTGACAACAGTGCGCTAATTCATGAATAGCGTTATAAAATCAGTAATAATTACAATATACGGCGCGCACATGTGTAACGCTAAATCATGCTTACACATTCACTCAATATCCAGTGATTACGCTTAATTTTGAATACGTCAATTTATGTACAAGTACAGTATATATCTGAAAACTTTGTAACTTATTACATTGTAAATTGAATTTAAAGGAAATTTATTCATATTTCAAGTTTTTCCGACTTACCGATTACACATTTTTAACTGATTACCATCGTTCTACCCGAGTAACCGGTTAACAGGTTACAAATTGCCATCCCTAGCATAAAGGTACAGATTCGAGAAGAATGCAAAAAAAGGATGGGTTGATGGCAAAACTATGAATATGTGTTTTAGAAATACAAAAACCTTTACAAACATTCTACAGTTTTTTAAAACATATTTTTGAGTATCCTATGTTCTTTATATCATTTCAATGAACCTGTTACATCATCTTTTCAATGAACGAATAGAACTAAAGTTGCCGATAGATTTTCATTGACAGCAAACATGCAAACTTTTATTGCCTGTTTCAATTATTGTAAAGAAAAATATTGTTATCTAATCATTTTCCCTTTTTTCAGTCTGGAGAGACCTTCTTCACTTAAAAAATATGGATACTCATTGCCTTGATGATTTTGTTTCTCATATGTACGGTATTGAAATTACTAGCTTCTATTGCAAATTATAGCAAGAAGTACTAAATTTTCACTCTCACTTTCAAGGATAGGCTTAGTTTTCAAACTTCCAATATATATCATGTTCCTAAAAACACATATAACATTATTTTTAAAACAAATTGTAAAAATTAACTGATTAATGACTTTCTAATATGAAAAAATACTTTGCTTACATCACATGATATCTTCCTAATGCAGCTGCCTATGCTCATAACCACGAACCAGATTGTCATAATGCCTGTCACAGTACTTCTACACACACTCAAGGTAGGTTTTATCTCCTTTATATATAGCGGGTTCAATTTATTTGAAATAATAATGTAGGTGGCTATTAAGCAACACATAAAATTGATTTCTTATTGTATTGGTTTAAAATTGAAACGAACTAGCAGGTGCAATTGTTGACGACGACCATTTACTTCAAAATACACATATACGTAATCTTTTTCTCTTTATTTTGTATTAAAATACATCAGTGATTACACTGATTCTTTTAAACTTATGCAATTCATGTAATTTTTAGAACTTGTCATTGAACATAATGTAACACCTTCACTATCCATATATAAAGGTACTTCCCCTCCTAGAGTTACACAATCTTCCCACCACCACCTATCACAAAGTGAAAGTGAGTATTATTTCTGTATCTAAGCTCATAAATAGCATTGTACTTTTCTCATCAGTTTAAATCCCCTTACTCCCGCATCCACCCGTCTCCGTAAGACAAAATTTGCTCATTCTCTTTGTAATGAGGCAAATACACTAAGAATGTATGTTATGAAATGATGATTTTTAGGCAATCAAAAAAATCGTTTCCGTATTGTAAATCTCTGGATAAAACTGTTTATTTTTTTTTCTATTATTTTTTTGTTTTGATTTTGTTATTGTGAAATGATTACATTCCAAGCTAATGTAGATCAATTTTTTTGGAGATCAAGTCTTCTAACAATATGTTGGAATTTCCCTGGGTACAAATTGCGCGCCGTTTTTAGCAGACCTATTTTTTTTATTCATATGAAACAGAATTCATTAAAAAATTTCTACATGAAATAAGAAGTCTCTTGCTGTTGCCTTTAATTCAACATTTAGATCATATATCAACGACGTTTTATCAATTATCAATATTTATTTTCATTTCATACGTTGATTCAATATGTCCCTTTGAACTCGAAATAAAAGATACTACAGAGCCTGACACATCTGTTTCATATTTGGGTTTTGTGTTTTTGTTTATTGTTTAACGTCCCTATCGAGAATTTTTCACTCATATGGAGACGTCACCACTTGCCGGTGGAGAGCTGCAAATTTTGATCTATACTCGGCACTCAGGGCCATTGAGCAGTGAAGGATCTTTTTCGTGCCAGCACCTACTGCGACACGGGACTTCGGTTTATACGGTCTCATCCGAAAGACCTGTCTCCACGTCCCACAGATCAACTCCTTACTCCGCGACTCTAGAGCGGACGCTCTACCACTGCGCCACGCCGGCGACCATATTTGGGTATTTTACTAGAAAAAAAAGACGTTAATGACGTCAGCTTCCCGTATATGTAGCAATATACCATTATCACCTGCATATGTATAGAAAGCCAATGGGTTCAAAATTCCAACTCCGTAATTCATAGAATGTAAACATATTAACCTTAATATGTAAATTGTAAATCATAATTTCACAATTTGTCAGTTATTCTATCACAATTTGTTAATTGTAACTATCGAACATAACTTGACAAGTGTAAAATGTAAATGCAAGTTATTTCAATGCTTACGTGTAATTCGTAGACTTGCGATTTGTCAGTTAACTTGTGAAACGTAAATTGTGTACATATGAAGAATTACAGAGTTGGAATTTTGAACCCGTTGGCTTTCCATACATATCGAGTTTATGTCTCCCAGTTGATTTGATAGGCAAGAGCATGCTCTACGCACGAACAATTTCTAAAACGGGGCAAACTATTGAAAAATAAGTTGATGAAACAAGAATATCAACAGACTCGTTTAAAATCAACGTTTCGCATATTCCATGATATATCATTACAAGGAGCACACGGCGGCTGTGACAGGTCGAAAGGGGATGATTACTCCTCCATGGTACCTGATCCCACCTCTGATGTTTTTCGAGGTCCGTGTTGGCTCTGCTCCCAATATGTATTGTTTCAGTTGACTTAAAGTTTTGAGCTTGATTAATGTTCGTTATCTTCATATTTCATCAATGGAAAAATGAAACAAGAAAGGAATGTAGCAAAGTGCTCTTTTCATCGAGAGAAAAAAAATAATCATATCGATATGATTGTAAAATATAACATATTTCATACATCAATTATCGAGGAAGGCTAGATATATGAAAAGATGAAATGCACTTTTTATGAAAATAAATAAATTTGGATCAGATTGTTCAGAAAAATGTAGCATATTTCACACAGTAATCACCATTCAGTTGTCTTGAGTCGTCACTAACATATTTTTCATTATTATTCCAGAATATGAGCTTTTTAAGAAAGGAGAATGTCTCAGTGAACACACAGGTATGTTTTTTCCTGCTATAATTGGTAAAATGTAATGATTTATCTTGTTTGCATAACGTTTGCCAGCTAGAGAGAGAGAGAGAGAGAGAGAGAGAGAGCAAAAAAGAAATAAGAAAATAAACCGGATAAAATTAAAAACAGGATACTGGAAATGTTTAAAGAAGTCTTGAACTGAAAAGAACACACTTTTTCTTTTAGACAATTTATATTCAGAAAACTAACAAATAGTGGTTTGACGATGATAAACACATGTAAATAAAAATGTTTTGTAAACTATTACTATATACACATTCAAAACCCAAATTCGTGGAAGGAAACTGAAATGCAAACTGGGTTATATTGTAACGTTACTCTTAATTGTAGGTTCCTGAGAGGACAGTTAATAATGATAATGAGTCAAAATCATATTTCTTATATCATATTTGTATCATAAAGCGAAAGATTTATCAAAATATTAGTATAAGTTTTGACAAACTCAACTGCCTTGTGAAACAAGCAAACAAAGCGAAATATATTGTTTCTTTGTTTGTTGTTTAATTAACGTCCCTTTTGAGAATTTTTATGGAGACGCCACCAAGTACTTGTCAGTGGAAGGCTTTAAATTTAGACCTATACTCGGCACTCAGGGCCAACGAGCAGTAATGTATCTTTTTCGTACCAGCACCTACTGCGACACGGGACCTCGATTTATACGGTCTGATCCGAAGGACCGAAAAAAAGCGAAATATAAGTGTCGAGAAAAGGAAAGGTTACCGGTAATCTACTGCATCGATTGTTATCGTCTATAAAAATGGTCATGTGATTTTATTTATAGCTTAAATTCAGATTAAAGGATTTTTATCATGCCTGAAAAATTTTTGATATGACAAAGTTTACATCCTATTAAAATTATCCATTTAAAATTCTTTGCTAGAAAATTAATATTTTTGATGTTTCAGCGATTCAAAGTTTGAATTTCTCAATATACACTGTTTGATCGGCATTGTTACGCGCCATTGCTCTGGCGTCATAGGTGTCAATCCTGGTCCAGCGAAGTACTTATTGTGTGTATAAGACGGCTCTTTCGAAGCATCTATTAAACCTGTAAGATAATAAATAAGTGATAACTGGATAATTGACAGTTAGTAATATAATGTGTGAAGTTTGGATACACAAATGTGCACAAGAAATTATTTTGGAAGATTTTTTCACATTTCCTGGGCTTGGGCAGGAGAAGAAAGGGGGCCTTTTTTCTGCAAACGCAAGGGCTTTGCCCCCATTCAGATCAATCGTTTATGTCCGATCAGGATTTTTCTTGTACTTTTAAATAAGTATTTATATAAGCTTTATATAATCTATTGATATAATGAATATAGGAAAATTTAAAACTCCCATATTCAAAAATATTTAGGAAGTCAAACCGTAATTTCTGCGGAATCCTTGGTCTACCGACAGTCCACTTCTTGGGACTTGAGACTTTTGTAACTTGTTCATGTTTTCTGTACAATTGAATAAAAAGGAAGGAGTGAACCAATATTTTTAAATTTAATACTTTCAATAATGGGAAAAAAAATTCATAGACCATGCTTAAAAAAAATTTATAAATAAATTTTCCTGTTTTTGCATCACTATGCATCTTTAAAGTTAAACTTATAGCTGGAATTTAATTTTTTTAGTATATATGTGTAATTAGTAATTAGTGTTAAAATTTTAAAGCATGTTATAAAGTAATATATTTTTTCGAGCGTCTTCTAGTATGGTCCTTCCTTTACCATGAAAGTGGGTATCCAAATGGTATGAGGAGAGATGCTGTTATAGACCAGATGGCAGGTATGAAAAATCTTTTTTTTTCTTTTTAATAGTTGATGTAGTATAGTTTTGAGGTCTTTCATGATTGGTTACACATTTGTATAACCTCACTTTTTATTCTTGTAAAATTGTGTTCTTTTCAGTTTAACTTTACAGTTACATACTTCGTATTTATTTTACCTTCAATTCATTTTGCCGTTTTATCATACTATAAAACCTGCAAAAATGATATGTTAGTATATACACATCATGTATTAGTGGATGCGTACTTAAATAATACGAGTGTTTTTTTTTCTCCTGCTTTGTCTATTTATATTTGCAATTAACTTAAAGAAAAATGAACCTAATGGCAATACTAGATTCCATGGACATGGATAACTTTTTATGGTTTGAATATACCATGTACCAAATATACATAATGTACATGTATGTCAATGTAGATAGTCCTTATATCACTGTCGTTTACTGCAGCACTCTTCCCTAATGGTACAGATGATCACTGTTTGTGTACCAAGAGTTTTGATCTACATTACAGTGGAGGCCAAGGTATGCTCAATATGCAAATTGTGTAGCGATTTTGACGATGTATCATTTTCTGATTTAATCAGAAAATAACAAATATGTTGACATTTAAATATACTTACAGAGGTAAGTAATATCTTAGATAATCATTTCTGTGAATAATCAATTTATCACGTAAAGTTGCAAATAATAGGATTCTATAATATTGCTTACTATACATATAAAACAAAACTGTTCCTTTCCCTACATGTATTTAAAGGGGAATGAGGGTACACTGGGAAATTAGATTATAAAGTGTTTTGTTATGTACACTCCATTTTTATACCGCCGGCTATGGAGGTTTGCGGAGTGTACTGGATTTACCAGGGCTTTCTGTCTGTCCGTCTTTTACTGTAGTTACGTTCAAAGAGGGTATAAATGTTTTTTAGCTCACCTGAGCCGAAGGCTCAAGTGAGCTTTTCTGATCACTTTTTGTCCGGCGTCCGTCTGTCTGTCTGTCCGTCTGTCTGTAAACTTTTAACATTTTCGACTTCTTCTCAAGAACCACTGGGCCAATTTCAACAAAACTTGCCATAAAGTATTCTTGGGTGAAGGGGACTCAAGTTTGTTCAAACGAAGGGGCACGCCCTCTTTCAAGGGGAGATAATAAGAATTAGTGAAAAATTAATAGCATCTTTTAAAAATCTTTTCCTCAAGAACCACAGGGCCAGGAAAGATGAAACACATGTGGAAGCATCCTCAGGTAGTGTAGATTCAAATTTGTTCAAATCATGACCCCCGGGGGTAGGGCGGGGCCACAATGGAGAATCAAACTTTTACATAGAAATATATAGGAAAAATCTTTAAAAATCTTCTTCTCAAGAACAGCAAAGCCATGATGAGTCATACTTATATAGGAAGCATCCTCAGGTAGTGTAGATTCAAGTTTGTTCAAATCATGACCCCGGGGGTAGGGCGGGGCCACAATGGAGGATCAAACTTTTACATAGAAATATATAGGAAAAATCTTTAAAAATCTTCTTCTCAAGAACAGCAAAGCCATGATGAGTCATATTGATATGGAAGCATCCTCAGGTAGTGTAGATTCAAGTTTGTTCAAATCATGACCCCCGGGGGTAGGGCGGGGCCACAATGGAGGATCAAACTTTTACATAGAAATATATAGGAAAAATCTTTAAAAATCTTCTTCTCAAGAACAGCAAAGCCATGATGAGTCATACTTATATAGGAAGCATCCTCAGGTAGTGTAGATTCAAGTTTGTTCAAATCATGACCCCGGGGGTAGGGCGGGGCCACAATGGAGGATCATACTTTTACATAGAAATATATAGGAAAAATCTTTAAATATCTTCTCAAGAACAGCAAAGCCATGATGAGTTGTATTTATATGGAAGCATCCTCAGGTAGTGTAGATTCAGGTTTGTTCAAATCATGACCCCCGGGGGTAGGGCGGGGCCACAATGGAGGATCAAACTTTTACATAGAAATATATAGGAAAAATCTTTAAAAATCTTCTTCTCAAGAACAGCAAAGCCATGATAAGTCATATTTATATGGAAGCATCCTCAGGTAGTGTAGATTCAAGTTTGTTCAAATCATGACCCTCGGGGGTAGGGCAGGACCACAATGGAGGATCAAAGTTTTACATAGAAATATATAAGAAAAAACCTTTAATAATCTTCTTCTCAAGAACAGCAAAGCCATGATGAGACTTATTTATATGGAAGCATCCTCAGGTAGTGTAGATTCAGGTTTGTTCAAATCATGACCCCAGGGGGTAGGGTGGGGCCACAATGGGGGATCAAAAGTTTTACATTAGAACATATAGAAAAAATATTTCTTCTCAAGAACAGAAAAGCTATGTTTAGTCATATTGATATGGAAGCATCCTCAGGTAGTGTAGATTCAAGTTTGTTCAAATGATGACCACTGGGATAGGGAGGAGCCACAATGGGGGATCAAATTTTTACAAAGGAATATATGGGAAATTTTTTTTAAAAAATCTCCTCAAGTACAATAAAGCCATTTGTTATAATGACATGGAAGCATCATCAGGTAGTTTAAAATTCAAGCCCCCCAGAAATCATAATACTGAACTGATTTGTGCTTTTGCCTAGCCAATTTGCTCAGGTGAGCGATGTGGCCCATGGGTCTCTTGTCTCTCTGTCCGAAGATTATCTCTGAAACGATTTAATTTTTTAAAACATAATACAATTGATATACTATTAACCATTTGAACTTATGGATCTGTTATTTAAAGAATTATTTGTCTCAATTATGTTTTTTTTATAAAGATCCTGACTTTTTTAGATTTCGTTTTATATTATTTATTTGACAGAAATAAAAGAGGTTAAATGCTTGTCTGCACATAAATTTTTTACCAAGAAACTCTGTAGAAGCTGATTCTTGATACAAAACTAGCTTGTGACGAGGGTTTTTCTTGACCTTGTACTGAGGTCATTGTAGACAAGTTTGCATATATAAAAGTAATAAATTATTGTACATGTAGCTACGATTTTGAAACAATCATAAGAAGCCTAAACCTGAGAAAAAGGTTATTTGTATCTCTAGAGTATGTCCTTACCCTACTTATAAGTAGATAGGTAATTTTTCAAGGTCAAGGTCAATGGTTTTAGGACTAAACAATCATTACCTTAACATTTTTATGTGGAGATATTACTATGCGTGACGGTTGCTTGCGGTCAGAGTGTGTGAAGCAATCTTTGGACAAAGTCAAGGTTACATGTAATGGGTAAGAAGGGTAACATTCTTGTAAATAACATTACTTGAATGGTATAAATTTGTTAGCTCATGCTTGTCGCCCTGCCCTCGGGGGTCTAACAACAATTAACTAATTACATTGCCACAAGACTCAGGCCAAAGAACTTTTGAAATAAATTTGAAAAATCATAATTCAACTATATTAACCTATTAATTCTATATTACTTTTCATAATATATAAATAAAATATTAATAAGTAATGGTTCAATCAATTAATAAATGTTTCAGTCCATGTCTCAAACGATGAAAGTTTTAATCAATCAAAGGATCAGTGAAATGATCAGAAAATATGAATGTACTGTTGAAATTTATTTACAGAGACCTAATTTTTCAAACATATTTACCAATAGTATGTCCAAATATACCTATAACAAATTATAATACCTACTTTCTTTTAAGATGTGTTTAATTTGATTTTTTACTTTAAAGGCAAAAAAATGAAAAAATAGCAGCAAAACCTCTTGTGACAAGGCTCAATGAGAGAGAGAGAGAGAGAGAGAGAGCGAAATCAGGGTTGAAAAAAAATTTTTTCTAGGTCTTTTACAAATTATTATTTTAAAAATTATTTTTGGAAAATCTTTGATTTCAGATAGAACAGCTTGAGACTGTGCAAGGCATTCCCATAGTATCCCGTATAGAAGTATGTATCATTCTCAGTACCTGATTTGATAATCCATTGAGTATTCTCAGTGACATCATCGTCATTTATTTGTTACATTTAAATGATAATATAGGCATTATTCACTTGTTTGATTATATTGTTTGCGAATAATTGCAAACATAATGGTAAGCATCATCTAAATCTATTGAATTTTAATTCAAGTACTACTACATCTACACAAGAAATAAGAGTAAATGGCAGGCAATATCATGTCTTTATATTTATCCCCTCACATAAAATATGTATTATTTCAAATATAATGTCAATATAAATTCTAGCAACAAAATAATACTTTGACCTTAAAGATGTAACACAATTACTCGTTTACTAGGACTTTAACGTCAATAATAAATTGAGATTTATAATACACAGTAATTGCAAAGTTGAGCATTGTTCTTGAAGGGTATACATGTAAATGATTTTTATCTTCTGAGGAGTGTTATCTTTATACATTGTGTTTCATTTTAGGTGCTATATCACATTTCCTCAACCATATGAATATTGCTCAACCAACGCCGCAATCTTGCCATTCGCATACAGCTGGTAAATGTTATGGAAATTAATGTTATCAACTCTGTGTACATGATTATCATTGGAATTGTACACTGTGATGTTTTGGCATAGTTTGCGTTAAATATTTAGCACAATGATTTATCATCTCAGGGGACGAAAGAACCGATTGACAAGATCGAAAGAATTGATAAGAACAACACTGCGAAAATGTTTGCCGAAGAAAAATTCTTGTCGTTGTGACTAACTTGAGAAAAATTATACAACCAATTCTCACTTTTAAAGATTCTGCATCAAGTTGCCAATGAACATTTCTAATTTAAATTCGTTAAATGTTGTATACTTATCTAACGTATTCTAATGGACCCTCTATACACTACACTATACTATGATTTGCCTTTGATTTAAAAATGAATAAACTGAAATCTAAGGTGTATACAACAGTTTCTAATCAATTCAAGTATTCGTGGCATTGTATTTGATCAAGACGAAGTAACTGAACACTTTATTTGCATGTCTTTTCCCCATTTAATTAAGCAACAGTGATTGTGTTCATCATTACTTTGCTTGCCTTTCAATTTTTTTCCCGGGGCAGAATGGCAGATACCCTATGTTGATAATTAAATAGATTAACTAAATATTACCAACTTTGTACAATTTATCAAATACAAAATTTGCTCACTAGTGTGCCATATCAAATTTAACTTAAGATAAACTGAAACATATTTCAAGTTTTTATAACATTATGGTTTATTGGGGGTTATGGCCACGGCTGCACTCAAAACTGCAAGTACAAAAAACGGAAACAGTTCCAAGGTGAACCCTGGGAACAGATGGACACCCGGAAATTAAAATAATGATCATGTTCTTTAATACTTTCTGAAAAAAATTAATTGAAAAGTCCAAGTGAGCACTACTGGTAAGCTGAATATCCGCTTACTCTAGGGATCAGCAGCCGTGACAGAGGGGTTGGCTCTCATGGTAGGATTTTAACCTGAAAAATACACAAAAACGAAGCCAAATACACTTAGAAAATAAATTTCTTCAACATTTACAGCCTATAATACAAGTACTTTGAGAAACCTAAAAAAATTTAAAGGTAACAAAATTTTGATGGGAGGGTTGGGTGGGTGAATTTCCACGTGTTGAATGCCAAAAGTATGCAGGGAGGCCGTGACGTCATATTTCACACTAATGCCCGCTCATGAACTAGGGGTAACTAAAAACCCGATAAACCCCTGAAAATGTCATTAACGCTATTTAGCTTTGATAAACCGATTTAACTTAAATGAATTAAATCCAATTAATTTTCTTAAATCCCCCAAAAATTGTGCATTAACTAAGTGTATAGAGGTTCCTTAATATTGACCAATTCTTATAAACTTTGAAGATATTTTTTTAGGACAAATTTAGAATTGTTATCATGAATTGAAGCCAATATGAAGTAATCGTTTTTTACAAGTATAAAAGCAGAGATTTATTTTGTAACGTACATGCATGATGTCTCGTTTTCTAATTTAGAGTAGTCGCATGTTTGGCTCAAACAAGTCCTTAAGGTGAAGTCAGTACACCATTAAAGAGTCAAAGGTTTTGACTCGTAATTTTAAAAAAAACTTTAAGGGTGCTCCGACTCATCCCGTACTTTCAAAATTTTTCTTTCAGTTTGGCAGGAACTTACTCAGATTGTAGAACACAACCGTAATGGTCACAACTGTGCAGAGAACTTGATACGACATTTGAATGGTAATTTACTATGTTTGTTGGTTGAAATACAAACTTAAGTGTAAATGAAAAAAAAGTATATGATGTTTTATTTTTCGTCTATCACCAGAAAGAGGTAGAATGGGAGGAGTATTTTAGATATGATTAGTTATACATAGTTGTACAAAGTCAGTCCAATTAGAGTGTTTGTGAATTGTCGATACATATTCTTCTTATTTAAGAACAAATACATGTGCTGCTATTGATCTTATTTTGTACGTGAAACGAATGTTTAAAACCCATACATTCGCATGTTTTGTCAACTAGTTGCTACTTGGATGGATGAGAGCGTATTTCTTACATATAGTTAAAGTCATTTCATTATGAATAAACGAGAAGTTTGCAACATCTTCGTGAGAAATGCTATCATTTCGGGTTTGAAGCAAAAATTTGATGCTTTAGTTTACTTAAGTTCTCATTAAATCAAAATCTGAAATATTGCCGACTCGGCGTTAAACAATAATCAATCATTTTAAAAATCATATTTAGAATCAGATTTCAAATCCCTTTTTTAACATATAAAAATTAACTACTCAATAAGTTTGCATATATTCCTGCATAACTAGTATTCTGAACAGTATTATCTCTTAATAGTTATTGCAGTGTTCCAGCTAGGGTGAAATGGAGGGGCGCTGCGCCCCACCCTCAAATCAGTGCGCCCCTCTGCCCCCACAGCCACCCCTGTGTCCCCTATTAGTGTCCTATAACATTCTGACTGTCCTTTTCCCTCATTAGAATAATTAGTGTGTTCTAAAGTAGATTACCTAAAGACAATCAGCAGTTCACACCTCCTGCCATGGGCGATTACGTAATGAAACTCACATTATGGTACCTATGTACTATACAGGTGCCCTTTTTCAATTACAGGTGATTAGGTAATTACTTTGATCACTTGACAGTCTGAATAGGGGTTAAAAACTGAAATACTTTGATTATGTCCAAGCCATCTGTTTTAATATAAAACAATAGTCTTGTCTTATAGCGTTCTAAAAATAAATCACGAAAGTGAAAGTAGCATTAACTTTGACCTTTAATGCTAATTATAAATTGTTGACCTTTTTTTCTGAAAAATGAAGGAATTTAATATCCAAATAGCACAGGAACAAGTATAAAATTTTTCAATTATTTTCTCCTTAATTAGGATTCTTGACACTCTGAAAGGAATTTTTAAAGATTTACAGATAATATGTAACTGTGTTCCATTTCATTGCAGAATTAAGTTTAAAATTAATTCAGTTAATTAATTATCTGCCACCAACGTGATCAATTTGAAAAAAAAAAAACCAAGCAATATAACCTACAAATACTGAATCTATTTAATACATTTGCCAGAAACATGCATACATACTCATTTAGCTATAGTACATGTATAGACCTACATGTATGTACTGCAATAATGAGACACCAGTTAGTTTATATGAATTATGGTGCTATTATAATTATTGAAAATAGGAATCAAGAATAGAAGATGATTTTAAAAAGAGATAGAAAAGTAACATTTATTCTAAGATGATCTTTAAAATTCTTTTTTACATCTTTACATACTAGCTATAAATTAATATGTGTTTATGTATCTTTCAAATCAATAAGGTTAAATAAATTAATAATATTTGAAGGAGTTCAGAAACAAGGTAAAATAAATAAATAATATTTGTAGGGGTTTATTATTATGAGGGTGAAGTAATGAGATACGACTATGTAACAAAAGCTCGCGACAACGGTAAGTCGCAAAAAAAGTGCCCTTCTCTTGCACCCCTCCATTTTCAAATCCTAGCTGGAACACTGTTATTGCGTAATTATTGTTCCGTAATTTAAAACAGAAGGTAGACATGTGATATTCCTCAAATATTTCCAAATCATTCTTTAAATGTAAAATGAACCTTTGCTAACATTGAAAAGTTCTTAAATTTCTTCCAAGACACTTAAAACAGCTTTTAGTGTGGGTATTGTCACTGAAATATTTTATTAAGCACTGATTTATTCTTATCTTTGAAATACCAGATGCTGTTCACAGACAAGGCGATCCATGTTCTTGCCATGCTGGTAGAGTAATCTTGATATTTTTTTTTACTTGTCAGGTTGAATTTTTGTCGAATTTGTGATTTTTTGTCTTTTAAATATTTACTGATAAATAAATTTTACAAAATTATTTCCAAAAATATCGACATATATGTTTTTCTTGACACGAATTCTTTATAAAAATATGTGCCTGTTAGTTTCTAGTATACACTTTTCTACCACCAAGACAACTGAAACAACAACTACTACTTCTAAAACATCCACGACAACAACGAGTCCATCACTGACTACCAAAGTATTAACTACAACAGCTAGACCACCTGTATCGACAGCATCAGCAGAAACAACAGAAACAACTTTATCACATTCGACACCGACAACGATTTCTTCAACATCTGGCAAGTAAATTGAAGGTGAAATTACTAAGGGAAAATTGCCCATCAGCAAATTCCTTTTTCAATTTTTACCATTTTTCAAGAATTAACTTTCGATTAACAACGTCTGTTTAACTAGATATTTACGAGTATATTGTTACAGGTAACTCTGCCGAATGCTCTAAAATTCGCAGTCACAGAACTTGCCAAATTTCAACAACTCTACCCACAGTTCAATGTTGATTGTTCCGGTAACATATCCACCTCAAATCTAATTCTCAGTGATTTGTGTGATAACATTGCCGCTTCAATATATTGGAAACCGGACACAAAGGTAAAATGTTTCCTTTTGATATACCATGATTTACCTAACCGTATTAATATACATGTCCATGATTCCTTTTCTTCATCTTCATGATCAGTTTTTTTAAAAACTTTTATGCGTCTGTCTCTAAACCACACTTTTAAGATTTTTTTGTGTTGCACAACTAATGATGTGTTGCAACTTTGACACAAAGTACATTTTTGATACAGCGTACATTTGAGTCTCTGTGTTAAGCAATTTGACAACCAGGGGAAAGATTCAGTTGTAATTTCACAAGGAAGTTGTTGCAGCTAGAATATCTTTTTCTTGCAAAGTATTTGGTAGGTGTAGAAATCTACAGCTGCATATGAATCATGCATCACGACAAAAGAACTGTGTAAAATTGAAAACCCTACTCCATTGTCTCTCCAGAAATGTGAACTATAAAAAACATCTTCTATGGAAAAAGTACTTTTTACATGCTGTGGTTTTCATTAAGGACTTAAGATGCGCATCTTGGGAAAAACAAGAGTATAACTCAATCTATAATAAGCTTGGTCTTTTGGAAATAACCTCGAATCAAAATAACAGTACCGATGAATTCTCTCGCCGAACATTCTCAGTCCAATGTCAATGGTCTTGACCTTTAAGATATAATTGAATCAATACATGACACATCACCTGTGCAGAAACAACATATATTTGAAGTATGATGGGGTTTTTTTTATGAAAGACATAATAATTATATATAGATCGGAAACTCGAGAAAGTGCGAAAGTCCTGTTGTGCAAAAAAATAAATTCCTCCATACACATAACTTTTATATCGAAAAGTGAAATAGAACAATGACTAAAAATGCAATTTTAGTATACAATGTAATGCAAGTTTTAGAAAATAAATAGAAAATTTTAATTATGCGTCTTCTGAAATGTTTGCATTATTCAATACTTCTTTTTGTTGAAGATAGATTTCTTAAATTTCTTTTTACAGGTAGTTGATGCATGTGAAACTCTGAAGCCATATCAACCGGTTGCAACGTTCATATTTAGTACCTACCCTGTCGACGGACTTGCAGGTGTTTTCTTGGGTTGTACGAGCACCTCTCTCAGAGTATGTTGTGCAAAAACAGATGCATTTACGTTTTTTCCTCATTATTTTTCTTACTTTCTTGAGATTTTGGAGGGGAAGAATAAATATTTTATTATTTATTTGCTATATACTATGTTTCTGTGTGTTTGTATATATGAATTGGCGTTAGTATTACTTAGTAAGTTTGGGAAATATTTTCGTGTAAAATGGCTACTTTCCTTTTCAAAAAGTGAAACTCGTGTAGTTCTTCAAATATAAATTGTTTAGCATACAGTTGATTTGGATCATAATGCCTTTAACCTTTCTTTTGTATTTTTGTTAGGATTCATTTTTAGCTCACCTGAGCTGAAAGCTCAAGTGAGCTTTTCTGATCACCTGTTGTCCGTCGTCCGTCCGTCCGTCTGTCTGTAAACTTTTCACATTTTAAACTTCTTCTCAAGAACCAAAAGGCCAATTTTGACGAAAGTTGGTACAAAACATCCTTGGATGAAGGGAAGCTCCCTTACAAGGGGAGATAATCAAGAAAAGACAAAAATAGGGTTGGGTCATTAAAAAATCTTCTTCTCCAGAACCACTGAGCCAGAAAAGCTGAAACTTACACGGAAGCATTTTGGGGTAGTGTAGATTCTAAATTGTTCAAATCATGACCCCCGGGGCTGGATGGGGCCACAATGGAGAATCAAATTTTTACATTGAAATATATAGGAAAAATCTTTAAAAATCTTCTTCTCAAGAACCACTGGGCCAGAAAAGCTGAAACTTTCATGGAAGCATCCTAAGGTAGTGTAGATTCTAAATTGTTTAAATCTTGACCAGCAGGGGTAGGGTGGGGCCACAATTGGGAATCAAAGTTTTACATTGAAATATATAGGAAAAATCTTTAAAAATCTTCTGAAGAACAACCACTCAGCCAGAATAGCTGAAACTTACATGGAAGCATTCTGGGGTAGTGCAAATTCTAAATTGTTCAAATCATGACCCTCGGGGCTAGGGTGGGGCCACAATGGGGAATCAAAGTTTTACATTGAAATATATAAGAAAAATATTTAAAAATCTTCTTCTCAAGAACCACTGGGCCAGAAAAGCTTAAGCTTTCATGGAAGCATCCTAAGGTAGTGTAGATTCTAAATTGTTTAAATCTTGACCAGCAGGGGTAGGGTGGGGCCACAATTGGGAATCAAAGTTTTACATTGAAATACCACTGGGTCAGAAAAGCTGAAACTTACAAGGAAGTATCCTGGGGTAGTGTAAAATTTAAATTGTTCAAATCATGACCCTCGATGATAGGGTGGGGCCACAATACATATTACAAGGGGGAAATCTGGTGAAGAACAGCAGGGCCAAAGTTACTCAGGTGAGCGTTGTGGGCCTCTTGTTATATTGTGTAATCTATTTTTTTTTTTTCTATGAATTATAAAATTAAACATCACTGATTTGTATATGTAGCGATGCTTATGCCAATATCCATATCAAACACAAAGGTCGATTATTTCTGATAATCAAGAAAGATATCTCAAACTCAGATTTGATTTCTTGTAAAATATTTCTGTCAAGATACAGTGTTGCTAATATCAAAAAATTCTGTTTATATTCAACAGCATAGGCCCGACCAATTTTGTAAAGTTCACACAATTTGGATCTTCGTGATATTAAGTAATGAACATTATTCTTTTTTTTTAGATTGCAACACAGGAATGTGGTGGTAAATTTGAAATTATTGAGTTTCCTCTACACCCATCTCATCTCGAAAGTTTTACACATACTGCCTCAAACTTTTATGTAGTTAGCTACTAACGTATATATACTCCGATATTATGTCAATGTAGCATTTGAAATATATTTGGGAATAAATTATCTTCTCATCAAAGAACTGCCTTTTGTTCTTAATAATGTCTTGACGGAAGATGGTAAGATTGTTTATTTCACATTTCCGGCACAAATGAACACACTTCCTTTTCCTTTTTTTCAAAATTGTATCCAAAACAATGACACCATCTGCAAGTCTCTATATTATTTTCAAAATAATAATAATATGTTTGACTTTGGACTTTAAATATATTACCTCCATCGTGGAGTTTTTTTGAGAATATGGCTTATTTTTGCTGTTGTATAAGATCTCTTGACATCAGTATGATTACTAAGTCAGATGTCGAACGAATATATTATTACATATGATATGCCATTACTTAGACGAAGGTCATTTCAAATTTCCATCGTAAATGTCCAAATGCCTTTGTCAAAGAATCCTTGCCATACCTTTGGTTGAAACGTGCCCTGAAGCTACGGAGAAGTCAAAAATTAACTTTTGACCGTAATCAAACTACATACATTGGTTTAAATAATTCATTTAAATTTTCAACTCACAATGGGTTAACATTCTTTTTTTCAACAAATGCAAGCATCATCGGGGCGGAAGGGTTATACATTTAATTTTCATTTATTCAAAGGTCCGTGCAAGACAATATGGCAAGAATGAAAATTAACAATATGAATAGGTATGTGATGATTTTTTTAACTGTCAGAGATAAATATCCTTTTATAGAAATCGTACGATAGTTTTTTATTCTACTGATATTAGTCTCTGTGACTAACTTTCGCAAGATGTCAACAAAACTGAAAAATGTAATATAATGCAAATCTAACTGAACCAAAACGTCACCATAATTGGTTTGATATATTGATAAACTCCGTAAATGATGAGTAAATGATGAGTCAAAAAAGCATAAGTTTGACATGATCATAGGATTTAATGACAGCTTTCAGCTACCACTGAATGTACAGACCATATCATAGACATTCAAAAACATTTTTCCTCACAAGAACGTTTTCGTCTTGACAGCCAAAAAAAAAACGTGGGTGTTTATTGACCTTCTTTGGCTAAAAAAAAAAAATCGGGAAAGTGGTGAATTAGTTTTACTAGAGTTCTTATCTTTAGTTCATGTTAGAAAGTTCGCAGAGGTGCCAGGCAGTAAGTATGTTCTCCATTTATGTTTACATGAGTTTCAAGTTGATCAAGAAAGAATTTCTGCATTTATAAGCAAGTTCTTCTTCTATGGCCGCATCAATATTTTTTCATTTATCAATCACAAATGTACCCATGAAGCGTCGAGATAATTTTTTGATAAATTTAAAAAAATCTATCAATTTATCGAACTTTTGCATTAAATTTGTTAGTATCTAATAGATAAGATGAAAAGTATAAGAGAAAAATGTCATCCAATAAGTTGTGAGAATAAGTTTCATGCCAACATGATTATCTTGTATTTGTCATACTTTACTTTTATACAGAATGTGAGAAATCACAAATGGACAGAATTTATTCTTCGAGAAGTATTTTATTTAGCACATTATTTTCTTCTGCTATTTATTAAATAACAATTACATGTACTGACATAAGTTGCTTGTTGGTTAAGTATCTTGCATGTTGGCTTAAGTATCTTGCATGCATAATAAATATTTGAGAAGATATTTTTTATGACAGAAGTACGGGAAATTTTAGTCTTAACAGTGTTAGTGATTGTGAAGCCATGATTTCCGGAAGAAAAAATATATCGTATGTTGAAAACAAATTGAGTTGATATAATTCAACAGAAAATTCTCTATAAAAACTTTTATTAAAAAATATGAGAAATACCACAATACCTATATAGTTATGTTCCTGTTTTATTGTTATCCAGTGCGGTCAATCTTGCTACCCGGAATGATGGTACTTACCATTTTTTGTACTGTCGGTGAGTAGTTTGCATTTGTCCCACAATATAGGGGGTACTTGGCCTCAAAAATATTTTATTTATTGCCAAGGGAAGGAAATAAATTTTGACTGACTCAGTATGATTCCGTTTTCTCTACCGTCCGCAGATATTTTTTCATCTGAAACTCTTCAATAATTTTCATTTGTTGTTGTTGTTGTTGTTTTTTTTTTTTTTTTTTTTTTTTTTTTTTTTACTGATATATACACATATTGTACTGAAACTTGTGTATTTTCTAAAAATACATTGTATATGTAGTGATGTACTCATAAGATTGAAAATTTACAATTGAGAAAGTCATAATATTTCTTTGTGAATACTGTGTATGTCTATAAGAATCCTGATTTTTTTTTCCATCTGCAAATAAAGGATATCGAAAAACGATGGATGTTTTCCTTGCAAATTTCAATCACTATTAATATTTCTGTTTCATTATTAACATATAAAACGCCATAGAGCTACAGATGGCTATGCTTTGCAGATATATATGGTGATGTTCATTCACTAGGTGCCCCTGGATCTGTGGCTTCATCCTTTGCGCGCGCAATTTCTTCGGGATCGGTAGCCTCTTCTGTACAGGGACATGACACATGCTATCATAACCATGCCTATTATAAAGGTTTGTGGCGTTTGATATCAAAATTCGTTTTAGTTTCATCCTGCATAACACTATAATTCTGAGTGGTTTTTAAGCATAAATCATTTTTAAAGTTGAGACAGAAAACCTGAATGACAATAGGTTTTTAAAACAACAATTATTTAAGGGTACATTTGTTTACCTTCCCTCTTCCTCTGACAAAGCAAGTTGTAATTTCAAACAAAATTCATTAGATGAATGGAATGAAATATGTTTTGAACAAGTATCATTTATCCAATCAATAGGTCATCAAGAAATAGGCGGAATCACATGAAAAATTACTTGAAAGTTTTATTTAAGATTTAGAATTACTCAAACTTTAGCAGCCTCCGAAAGTTCCGCTTTTATTGAAGTTCAGTATAAAGATTTGAATCTTTTTATTTCGTTTTGATATTTTAAGACAAGAACTGCTATGTATATCCGTGTACAATTTTTATTTAAAATTTTAAAGAATCGTTATTAAACATGTATTTTTCATCCATGTTAAATATACATGAAGATTTTTTTCAGATTTTTTTGACAAAGCCGCAGAAGAGAACTGCCATACACCTTATTCAAGTAATAAAACTTCTGTTTTTGGCAAAGTTACACGTTGCCTTTATTATTTATTGTAGTCTTGTGTGCATAGTATTTATTTACTTTATATAGTTGATTATCGAATTCTATCATTTTATATGTTAAAGAATCATTTCATTATGTATGAATAGTAAAATTGTATTTGGTAAGAATTACGAGTAAGTGTAATATATCATAGACGTGCATGGGTTGGTTATGAATGTATATATAATTATTGTAAATGTTGTTTGGTAAAAAAAAAAAATTTAAAAAATAAAATAAAATTGTATTTTAATCAACTTGTAAAATATTAGTATTTAGGAATGAAGGTTTGAAATGGATTAAATTTTGGATAACTCTTGGAATATTTACAGTGTTTCGAAACCTAGATTATATTCGACGACACGATCAACATTGTCTTCCTACATTAATTCGGGCAATAGCAAGTAAGTAAATTAATTTTAATCAAATACTAAAACCATGATAACAGCGATAGGACCAAAATAGCGAATAGAATACATTAAAAATTACAAATCATTTGATATGATGAACCTTTTACTGAGAAACAGTAATAATAATTTTCTTCCTTAATATACCTTATATAATCCTTAGCTTATCTTAGGTTTTTCATATTATTTTAAGTAAAATCAAGGAATTATTCCCTTTAGAACTGCATTTGCCAAGTTGTCGATGTACACACGCTCAAATGCATTATCCACATCAAGGAGATTGTAAGTATATATTACTAATGCAGTGTATGTCAAAACAATGTTTTCTTGCATTTAATTTTATTCGCTCACAATTCATCCTTAGAAATAACTAGGAATGTAAAAAGTAAATGAAAACATAACGAACAGTGAACAATCTCATAAACCCAGTGAATGAAATGAATTGTTAACATGTTAAAAATACGGACCCCTAGAAACACCAGAGGCAGGATCAAGTGACTAGAAGGAGTAAGCATCCCCTGTGTGTGTGAGAGAGAGAGAGAGAGAGAGAGAGAGAGAGAGACTCGTCGTGAGCCCTATGTATTGGTTAGATGGTCAAATCTGTTTTATTTTTTTCTATCTCCAACAATTAAAGAAAAGTATATAATTCCTGATTTCCTATAAACAATATGATTATTTTTTAAAATGGACAGAACTGTAAGAGATAATAACTAAATATTCTTACCTCTAAAAGTTTGCTGTCATTTTATTTTTCAAGATCACCATTACTCTAGATGTATGAACCACCATGTCTACCGAGGTAAGTTATAAACATATTGAACAAGGAATATATTTATACGTATATATATATATATATATATATATATATATATATATATATATATATATATATATATATATATATATATATATATATATATATATATATATATATATTCATCGTTATGATAATTCGATATTTTTTTTATGCAGAAGTCACTAACACTTACTTGACTTATTACCAAAATGGAAGATCAACAACTGTTACTTGTCACTCTAGAAATAGAGGTCAGTAAAGTTTATTTATATAATTTTATGATATTTGTTGGCCCTTTTAATCTTCTCTTTTTCAATAAAGTTGTCGCTTACCATAATGAATTTTACCTTTAAACAATTTATAAAAGTAGGAGTACCTTTACAAAGATCAATATGCCAAAACAAAACAAAAATATACTGGCATACTAATTTCTTGTATATTTATTTCATAATGTTTATCAACGAAAATTCATTCAATAAAGACTAGGGTTTTTTTAAATACCTGTATGATATATTTTCAAGTTTTATGTTATATTTCAGCTTGGCGGGACCTTGTCCTTTTGCTAAATGATCGATTGGATTGTTTATTTGACTTTGTTAGTCAAATGAAAGGTACTGACTTTAATAACCATACATGGACATTTTCTTTGTTAAGAGAAATGAATAAAATATATAGATATATGAAACAGTGCAATAGTTAAAAATTGTTTAGGATAGGATATAGAGGAAAGTTCTTTAGTTTGTATACCATTCATTCCAACACCAAGCCTTTTCCGGTTGCAGTTGCATATGATCATAATCACGAACCACCTTGTCAGACCTGTCACGTTTATACTCATACACAGGGTAAGATTTGTTAACTACATAGATTGTTTTTGAATTAAAGAAAAAGAGGCTGTAAATTTTACTCTTGAGATATTGCAAATTGCTGAATTCCACAATTCAGTTGATAACTGCTCCTCAAAAACTGTCAAAAACCTATTAAATATTGGTAACCGCAATATGTTAAATTTTCATCATGTTTTATGCTCTCTCTCTCTCTCAGAAAGTTCTCATATTTTTAGCTCACCTGAGCCGAAGGCTCAAGTGAGCTTTTCTGATCACTTTTTGTCCGGCGTCCGTCTGTCTGTCTGTCCGTCTGTCTGTCTGTCTGTCTGTCTGTAAACTTTTAACATTTTCGACTTCTTCTCAAGAACCACTGGGCCAATTTCAACCAAACTTGCCACAAAGTATTCTTGGGTAAAGGGGATTCAAATTTGTAAAAATGAAGGGTCACGCCCTTTTTCAAGGGGAGATAATAAAGAATTAGTGAAAAATTAATAGCATCTTTTAAAAATCTTCTTCTCAAGAACCACAGGGCCAGGAAAGATGAAACTCATGTGGAAGCATCCTCAGGTAGTGTAGATTCAAATTTGTTCAAATCATGACCCCCGGGGGTAGGGCGGAGCCACAATGGAGGATCAAAGTTTTACATAGAAATATATAGGAAAAACCTTTAAAAATCTTCTTCTCAAGAACAGCAAAGCCATAATGAGTCATATTAATATAGAAGCATCCTCAGGTAGTGTAGATTCAAGTTTGTTCAAATCATGACCCCCGGGGGTAGGGCGGAGCCACAATGGAGGATCAAAGTTTTACATAGAAATATATAGGAAAAACCTTTAAAAATCTTCTTCTCAAGAACAGCAAAGACATGTTGAGTCATATTTATATGGAAGCATCCTCAGGTAGTGTAGATTCAAGTTTGTTCAAATCATGACCCCCGGGGGTAGGGCGGGGCCACAATGGAGGATCAAAGTTTTACATAGAAATATATAGGAAAAACCTTAAAAAATCTTCTTCTCAAGAACAGCAAAGCCATAATGAGTCATATTAATATAGAAGCATCCTCAGGTAGTGTAGATTCAAGTTTGTTCAAATCATGACCCCCGGGGGTAGGGCGGGGCCACAATGGAGGATCAAAGTTATACATAGAAATATATAGGAAAAACCTTTAAAAATCTTATTCTCAAGAACAGCAAAGACATGTTGAGTCATATTTATATGGAAGCATCCTCAGGTAGTGTAGATTCAAGTTTGTTCAAATCATGACCCCCGGGGGTAGGGCGGGGCCACAATGGAGGATCAAAGTTTTACATAGAAATATATAGGAAAAACCTTTAAAAATCTTCTTCTCAAGAACAGCAAAGCCATAATGAGTCATATTAATATAGAAGCATCCTCAGGTAGTGTAGATTCAAGTTTGTTCAAATCATGGCCCCCGGGGGTCGGGTGGGGCCACTATGGGCGATCAAAGTTTTACATAGAAATATATAGGAAAAACCTTTAAAAATCTTCTTCTCAAGAACAGCAAAGACATGTTGAGTCATATTTATATGGAAGCATCCTCAGGTAGTGTAGATTCAAGTTTGTTCAAATCATGACCCCCGGGGGTAGGGTGGGGCCACAATGGAGGATCAAAGTCTTAAATAGAAATATATAGGATAATATCTTGGAAGCATCCTCAGGTAGTGTAGATTCAAATTTGTTCAAATGATGACCCCTGGGATAGGGAGGAGCCACAATGGGGGATCAAATTTTTAAAAAGGAATATATGGGAAATTTTTTTGAACATCTTCTCAAGTACAAGAAAGCCATTTCTTATATTGATATGGAAGCATCATCAGGTAGTTTAAAATTCAAGCGCCCCCCCCCCCCCCCCCCGTGGTAATCTTTTCAATACTGAACTGATTTGTGCTTTTGCCTAGCCAATGTGCTCAGGTGAGCGATGTGGCCCATGGGCCTCTTGTTATATTTTAATTACTATTCGACAATTTGATAATCACTGGTCATATCCGGTTTTTTTTCATCTTCAAGTCACTCAACCTCCCCATCATCAACTCACTCATAACGAATGTAAGTATCATTTCAATTTGTTGAGATGTTTGTTTTTATAGGGTAGTATTTAGTTCAAAATAATCTTTCAAAAGACTAGATTGTGAATAATAGATTCAATATATGTTAATTACATGAGGTAGGCAATTATATAAGAGAAATTTTAAAGGACATTTTGTTCCATACTTTGTACTTCATGGAGTTACTGTGTAAATAAATCTTCTACTTATTTCATAGGTTACATAGTACATTATTCGTACTTTCCATGAAAATGTGATAACGTAAACACAATTTTCTGTTCACTTTTCCAGTGTACCAAGCGTATCAGAAAGGAGAGTGTCTCAGTGAGCACACAGGTTAGTTTATAGGTTGATTGATTGATTGAGACTGAGTTGGTTGATTGAGTTTACAATACTTTAGAACAAGGGAACGGGGCTGTGAAGTAACATTCTCGATGACAGATAACGATATATTCTTTTTTATGTAAACTCTATTAGATGTTTGATAGAAAACGTGAAGTTCTTTTGACTGTAAGGTAGACTTTGATTGAGTTTGTCTCGTATTGTATATATGAAAAAAAACCTTTTGGCATTTGTCTGTTCCTCTTTGAGTTTGTCTCCTTTTGTATATTGTATAATATTGATATACTTGTATTTTATTCAGTTTGGGAGTTTCTGTATCATGAGACAGGATACCAACATGGATTAAACAGAGAACAAGTTATAGCACAAATGGCTAGTAAGGATCATGTTCCTGTTATAAATCATAAATTGTATAAAAATCCAATTTTAGTTACATTACATTGATTTCACATCCACTTCGACTGCCTTTTTAAAAATGTTCTCTCATTTATACCTTTTTTTGTTGCTTGAGTATATATTACAGTGTAGTGTTATATTTTCATGGAATTATTCCATCTTATGCATAGAAAAAAGATTTATTTATTAAGTATTAAGATTGAAAACTGAAAAAAAAAAATTAAGGAATATGTGCCTTTAAGTGAATATGAATAAATATCATTTAGACATATGAATTTTGTTTCAATGCTTAATTTACGCTTATGTTTTTTACCAATTATTTTGAATATATTCATAATTTTAATGAACAAAATTGACTACATTTGTTTTTCCATTACAGCACATTTTCCTAAGGGCATTAACGATCAATGCATTTGTAATAAAGCTGTTGATCTACATTACCATAACAGCGGGGGGCAAGGTAATAATGATCAAATAGTAAATAGAGATTTTCATTTACTCACCATACCAAAACTTTTGTTAAAGCAATTAACACATAGGAAACTTGGACTTAATACAATTAAGGTTTATTAAACCAATTGCAATTACTAGAAATCAATAAAATCTAAACTTAAATACACTGACTATTACATTCTTATTGATTTGACTGTATATTTGTTCCTAGCTGAGGCGTCTTTTTGAAAGAATTAATTGGACCTACTTTCTATGACTTTCAATGAAATTATATTCATTATATACCTATACACGTATAAGTGATCTTCAAAGAACCATATGTGGTAAAGGCATATTTTCGTTCCCCATAAAAGTCAGATTTTGAAAATCTCTTGAAATATGCGCCATTGCATATAATGTATACAAAAATCTGAATTAGCAAAATATAGAAGGGAGGTTTTTGCATTTTTTATCTCTGTGACATCACAAACTTTGAAGAGTTTCCTTTATTTCTAGGACAGTTTAAGTATTTACATATTTCAATGACATTATCATATAGCATATTATATCAAAAGATCGAGTCTGAACAGACCTGTGCTCAATAAATTCTAATCAATTTATCGACATCAAATACACTACATATATTTTCTCTCCAAATCATTAAAAGTTTGAATTCCCATGTCTAACTTATGACGTCATTTGGTCGAAATATTTAGTGCTTTGAATTCTGCAGACTTAAAATATTAATAAAGATTTCTCTAACAAAATTTTATGTTGGTGGCAGTGTTATTGGCCATTGCAAAATTTAGTCCTTTCCGATCTTGAAGATGTGACAACTTTTCAAATGTTCAAATTTGTTGTATTTCAAATTTCAGGGATGTATTATTAGTATACCGGTAGCTTTAAATCAACATTTATATATCTTTTGAAAATAAACACAGGTCATGAATCATTAAGATAAATATGAAACATTTTTGTGTTTTGTCAACATCGTCTTTCCTTAGAAAAATAATTATGATGCCATTACTATTTTTTAAATAATAAAATTACGTTCTTCAGATGGAATAGCCTGGCATTGTTCCAATCTACAAGAAGATCACAGCTATCCATATAGAAGTAAGCCCATTCTATATACATTTTCTGAACCACATATATCTACCATGATAAATCTCTTCATTATTTGTCCTTATAGCTGCGATATCACATTTGCTGAACCAGATAAATTTTGTCCACTCATCAACTCAAAGGTGCCACTCACATACAGCTGGTAATTATCGAACATATTTCTTTAAATTTGTGCTCATTTATTCTTATCTGTGTCACTCTCTAGTTACAAATTCTAATTCTATGAAAGAGTACATTGTCATATTATTACATTTTTTGTATCGAAAACTGCCTTCTGACTTGAAATCATTGTATAAAATTTTATTCTACCTAGTCAAAATTGTTCCATGGTTCATGACAATACCTGTTTTGCCCTGTAACCTGGAAAATATGGTCGAGTGGTAAATCTGTAAATGTTTGTTTTGAGTTGTTTCGATTGTTGGCCTTAAACCAAGGCACCTTATATCTACTAAGTTATGTTATTCTTATCATTTGAAGCATTTTAATTGCTATTTCAAAAATTATGAGGATTATATAAATGGTTCACTTTAATTTTTACTGGATAACATATGGTTCATGGCAATATATATTTTACTAGGTAGATGATTTCTATAATTTTTCTAAATTCTAAAATTTATAAGAAAAAAGTGTTAACCTTATTTGAGATCTTACATTTCAAAGAAAACTTATGCTATATGTAAATTGCTTAACTGTGCTTAAGGACATACGCAACGTACCTTACCTACTGATAATTTTTCGAGATATTCTTAATTTAAGATAACAGTACCATCAGATGTTCGTAGACAAAAAAATAGCATGTGTTACCAGGGGTTTTGAAAAGAAATCAATTGATGAAAATTCTTGTATAATTCAAAGAAAAATATACAAAAATTACTAAACATATATTCTAAATGTTTTGTTTATCCAAACTTGTTTTAGAAGAAGTGAGCAATAGCATATATTGACAATAAAATGTAGGACACAGTTCCTTTAAGTATTGGAACTCTTCAACTCCAGGGAAAAATACAATAAAGTTCAAACTACGTTGCGTATGTCCTTAAGCGGGAGGTGTTTCCTTTTTATGGATACCAGTGCATAAATAGAGGGGATTGGAGAACAAAACTTCTAATCACTGGATTGAAGCTTAAGATTTACAGAAAAATAACTTATTTGTATGCTCTAGAGAAAAAAGGAAAAAAATAATCAACTGAGATCGAGCTTTTTAAAAACATTTTACATAACACATTCAACACTTTCATATTTGAAGTCTCAAGCTTAAGGCCACTTAGTAGAGTTGAATAATTAAGCTCATATTTTTTTTTTTAGTTTGGTGGGAACTTGATCATATAGTAAAGCACAATCATCATGGCAAAATTTGTGTGGAAAATCTCATACACCACATGTATGGTAAATATGTTATTTTTTTATTTTCAACACGGAACCAATTTAATATTGTTATAACAGTAAATATATTTCTCATGGTCCAACGTTTAAATCACTACATATAAAAATGCAAACAAAATATAAATCTGGAGATCATCACTCCTGTAAATTAATAATCAAAGTACTGTAAGTACTGATAGACGGTGGCATAAATGCATAAATGATTTTGTGTTTAACGTCCCTCTCGAAAATTTTCACTCATATTGAAACATCAATATTGCCGCTGGTGGGCTGCAAATTTAGATCTATATTCAGCACTCCAGGCCATTGAGTAGTGAGGGATCTTTTTCTGACCAGCACTTACTGCGACACGGGAACTCGGTTTAACTGTCTCCACGTCCCGCAGTGGGATTCGAATCCGCTGCATAAAGATCGACTCCTTCATGTTCGTGACTCTAGAGCAAACACTAACCACTGCGCCACATGGCCACTGGCATTGAATGAGATAAAATATTATAAGAATCTGTAAAATGATATGATGGAAATTATGAAAGTTTATTGCAATTTTTCACGATACATGTCTTTTAATCAGTAAATTTATATTTCCGAAGTATAATGAGGGCATGTATTAATTGGAGTTGTTAATTTATTGCATGAAATTTTCTACATTAGGTTTATTATGAAAGTAGGATTGAATTAAAAAAACTATCCCGAAATGCCAGAAACGAAACTTCGATCATTTCAGGGTTTTTTTCTATATGTACTATTGTGATGTGCAGTCATAATTGCAAATTTAAAAATGAAAACATATTTAAGGATGATGAACAGATTGAAATTATATATTCAAATAATGGATTTTGGGATGTTTTAGTATTTTTTCCCCATAAATGAATGCTTAAAACGTGTCAAAAGCAGTTTATCCTAAATGTTAAATCATAAGGGAATCAAGGTTCCTAATATACTCATGTAGTGACCGAACATTTTTATTCTAAGATGCATGTTTTACAAAAATGTGTAATGAAATCGTGGTGTTTTGAATTAGAAATTTTGACTTTATAATTTCAAGTATCTCATGATTAGGGAGTATCAAATTGGGAACGTCTCGTAATTACCGTTTGTCGCATAGGCCTACATGTAACTAAGAAACCACCGTGCGTGTGTTTAGCAATTATAATCATTTGATTTCGAAGTTAAAATGTGAAACCATTATTCTCAAATATTTTTTTATTAAATATTCTGACTATTAATAAATATTATTTAAATTTTACATTAACACAACCTTTAAAAAAGCCGTGTGACTTCTGTAGTTTGCATACGAATATACGAGTCGGTCTGTGTACGAGTTAGTTGTAAGTCGACGTAATTTAATGAATATTCATGAAGGGAGAAATATCGATAGCGGCAAATATCAGGAATTAAGCTTTGTGCCCATCAACAAAATGTCTGTGAAATAACTTGAGAGTATTTGTTAACTATGTGCATTTTATTTTCAAACATCGAATCAACCCTATTTTCAGTATTTTGACTGCAAAAATCGCCGCTAGGGTCCCCGTGATTTTACACTGTTGTTATTTATAGCCCAAAAGCAGCAGCAATAGCCTGTGGCTATAAATAGCCACCGTCTAAAAATGCATATAGTCAATTGGTTATTATTAACACCATATTTTTTTAAAATCCCCATCTTATTATGAGTTAGATTCGCTACACTATATTGCGTTATAATGCAATATTGCTGATCTGGTTAACATTTTAACATTTACAATACATGAATTGAAGTGTGTAATTGATACTATTAGAGGTATCCCACAATTAGAGCGAGCTAACTCAGTTCTTACAGACCCTTATTTCTAAATATTATGTTTCTTTTTTATTTTGTATAGAATACATTCTGTAATTGTAATATGATGTTATTAACACTTGATGTAATGTTTTATATAACAACTTATATCAGATGCTGTGCACAGGCAGGGAGATCCATGCACTTGTCATGCTGGTAAAAAAATACTATTAGTTCTCAAACCTGTATGATTCCTTAAAAATAATTCAGTATGAAATTTATAATCCTTTGTAATAAAGTAAAAATATCATTTTTATAATGTTCCCTACTGTCTAATTTCAACAACAGTGTCGCCGACGACAAAGACAACACAACCAACAACAATTACTACAACCACAACTACTCAAGCACCAACTACAACAAAATCAACAACGTCAACAACAAAACCAACAGTTTCGACAACAATAAAGACGACACAGCCTATAATTACTACAACTCTATCAAGATTAACTACAACAACGTCAGAATTGACAACAAAAAGCAACAACACTACGCCTATATCTCATTCAACAACACAAAGGGTCCTGTCAACACCAGGCAGGTTAACATGAAGTCAAACCATGGGCGCATGCTTAAAAATTACTACTGGTAATTGATTTTGTACACCCAAAAAGAATACCACTCCAAAGTGCTTAGGTACTTTGTATTATTATTTAGGTCAATCTACTGAGTGTTCCAGAATCCGCACGGTCGAAGAACTAGGCAAATTTCATCAACTTTACCCACAGCTCAATACTGACTGTTCGAATTACGTGTCTACTTCTAATTTAATAGTCAGGGAGTTGTGTGACTTTGTTCCTAATTCATTATATTGGAAGCCAGGAAGAAAGGTACGTTTTTGTCAACATTTTCAATACAATAAAACACTGTAAACGTACTGCAATCAGCTGTGTATTCTCTTAGCGCCTTTGGAGAAAATGAGCCCCCTCTTAAGTGCATCTCAAAATGTTCTGAGTATATGTATATAAAGATATACATTCAGAAATGCGCCAAATAAATTTAAGCCAACTTTTCACAAAATCGTTTCCGCTATATATCATAAACGCTTATTACACTATATTTACAGTATTGGCCCTATATATATCCTTTGAGTTATTATTTTAATAATTTAATTTATACAATGAATAAGATCATATAATGTGGTTTATTTTTGTTTATCTGACCGTGCTAAGGTCAAGTGTAATCCACATTAAGTCTAATCATCCAAATACAGATAGATTTCTTACAGGATATAGTGTTAAAATAAAGTTATTCAAGTGTGCAACATTTTAAACAAAGAACATGCTTAATTATTTTCCTTACGATTTTAACTTCACGATCTGCATTTATACACAAGTACTTCAACATCTTTTTATACTTTGGTATTTTGTTTTTCGAAGGTTGTTGATGCATGTAACACTCTCCAAACCTATCAGCCAGTAGCAACCTTCAGTTCAGCCATTTTCCCTGTGGACGGATTGGCTGGGATCTTTCTAGGTTGCACCTCTACATCAATCAGGGTATGACATATTCTTCGAATTTTCTATTTCAATTTCACTCTAAGACATGTATAAGATTTATGCTAGATTTTTCTAACAAACGTTTTAATTTCTTTCTGTGTGTAAGTCTGTCATAAGTGACGATATACATGTCATTGTTGTAAGATTTAAAGTTAATATACGAAAACCATTATCAAATTAATTTCGAATTTAATTGTTTTCAAAACTCAATCTCTGCAGTCTATATTCAAATGTGAAACTTTAAAACTACTTACTTGTTTGTCATTCTTCTTTTTTTAGATTGCAACCCAGGAGTGTGGCGGTACTTTTAAAATTCTGGAGCTTTCCAGACACCCTACACAGTCTGAAAGATTTACTCATACTGCCTTGAACTACTACGTCATAAACTACTAGATAGCGATGTAATTTGTGTCTGTTGATTTTAATACATTTCGTTCAAAAAAAGTGATGATACGAACAGTGATCAATGTCGGAAAACCTATAATTAAAATCTGAATACGATATAAAACACGGTCCACCGGAAATTCCAGAGGTGGGATCAGATGGCTAGGAGGAGTAAGCATCCCCTGTCGATCGGTCACACCCCCTGATCCCTATGTATAGATCATGTAGACGGGATATTCCGTAGTCAAATTTAAAAACGGTGGCCTAAGAATTGGTATGGAACATGTTAGTCAAAATACTACCCAATGATAGGTTATAATTGTTAACAAGGTCATTATAACAACCATAGAATTTACCAAACGCATGAATTTCAACGAGGTTGTTGAAATCCCTGTAACATCAAACTTTTTGTCAGTAGCCTGCCTCGGTTTAAAAATTTATCGTACCCAGAGCACACTCTTGAGTATCGTATAAACATAAACATCATACTACTATGCAGGTGAAAGCGGAATATTACTACAAAAATAAGAAAAAATGACAATGGAAAAGCTGAAGGTATCTCCTTTGTAATACAATTTAGTTGGCTCTTTTCGTCTTTAGTCAGTAAAACATCCAAATATAAAACAGGTGTAGCAGACACTGTGCTGCTTTTTTTTTTAATTCACGGGGATATACAGAGTCAAAAAATGACAAAAGTCGATATATCTGAATGTCGAGTTGAAACCGACAACAAGTGTTTTCTTATTCTCATGTAGAAGTTTTTGAAAAAATTCTGCTTCCTAGAAATATGAAAACTTGTCGGCTAATAAAGGAGAACAATTAATGCCCATCGAAATTCAAACAAATTGTCAGAGTATCTGGTCTCCAAAGATTATGTAGATGTTGTGAATGAGAAACTCCAGCATCCTTTTAATATCAACTCTCAGAGTACTTGTAGAATCAGGGTGATCTGATCTTTTACAAAGTAATTTTGTTGATGAAAATTGTTTAAAGCAGTTGTCTATGACATTAAAAGCCTGGTTTTAATATGTCGTAAGGAATGGTTGTATAAAGTATTGAAGTTGTACGCTTTGGTGTAACTGAATTGAAAAATTATGCGATTTTAAAATTTCTTAGTTCTTTGGAGTTTTGAGAATCCACTTTTGATTGACACTACTTCTAGAATATGCTGTTACACAGTACGTCTGAAGTTTCTCTTTTACGGCATGCAGTTAACATTTTTGTGACGTGTAAAGATATGGGCACGGTAGAGCATTTGCTGGACCTAGCAATGTTTCTTTGTAAGGATTTTTTATGAGGTTAAGGAATCCAGTATAGATAGGGTAGATTGAACTCGTTATTTTGAAGAATTCCATTCTTAGAACGTGAACTGTGAGATATTAGATTTCTAAATGTAGAATATAAAAGACAATATTGTTGAAGTCTTTTCTTCTGGAACCATAACGTATTGTTCATGTAGTCTTTCTTAATCTTTTATTACCTCTGATTTACGTAAAAACGTAAGGATAGAGATTTGCATGTTGCCTTTTAACTTTCTATAACACTATATATTTCTAAAAATATAATCCATTCTGACAAAGTATTCAGTATTTATGTAAAGCCCCATCGTCTGGCATACCTCGACAGAATTAACGATAGAAATAAAGTTCTGTCGTCTGTTGAAAGATCGGGGCTAACATAACCATGTTTCTCAAAATAAATGTTGTTTGTGAGTTGAAAGTAACCTATCGAAAGATTTCGTTTTGATATTCTTATTTTATTACATTTTCTTTGCCTAAAACTTATGGGGACAAACTGCAAGTACATAGTACGTACTAGTATAATGAATGGTAAATGAATTATCATTTAAGTTTTTACCGATAATGTTAGTAAAGTCTGTCAATAATAGTGCGAATGAAACAACAGAGAAACTCACAACGCGAACCATGTTTGCTGGAATACTACATGCAATGGGCAGACGTGCAATTTTAACTCTTCTATGCTTTGAAGCTGAGGAATGTTTTTGCCAGTAAATCATTTAAACATACATGTAAGATATTTGGCAGATTGTAACATTAAAGAAGTGGGATTTAATTTTTTCAAAGTTTAATACATGGTACTTTCACATCATGAATATTTTGTTAAATTACTCTGATCCTTAATTTTGCTCAACTATTATACAGACGAAAAAGTATTTTAAACAAAGGACAAGTAAGATCGTTCATCTATCTCGTTAGCACAAAATAAAAACAGTAAATTCAGCAAATATGAACAGTCTTTTCATTAAAATCGGAAAAACTTTCGCCATATTCACATAAAAAAGCAATCAGACAGGGAAGAGGACTAATTACGTTTTGGGAACTTGTGTCCAATCCCTTTGACATATCGTCAATAAAATATGTTCAAAACAAACAAAAACAGGATTTTCCTTTTCATAAAATAACGAATTATTAAGAAAAGATTAACCCATGAGATTTTCTGTGGGCCTCTCTCTTCATCGTCCTGCAAACTGGACAACCATATCTCAAAATTAAAAAGACATAGATAATACTAAAAAAATATACCATTATTTACAAAAGTGGTTGTTGACAAATATATGTTTACCGAGAAAAAGTTTTCGGGATTTCGACCCAATAATCGTCTTAGATGCAAATTCAATTTTTTTTTCAATAAACAACTGTATAATAAAAATTAATGCTATTTTCCCCTTAAATTGACACATACGAAGTTTCAGGGGACATCGATATGAAAAGTAAATCGGACAACCTCCGAACAAAAAATACTATAATTTAATTTACATTATGTACGCGGATACAAATTTGTCACTTTAAGTGCATTAAAGACATAAAGAGGCAATCCAAGAATTCGCGTCATTTTCCACTAGCGGATTGAACAGAAATGGTGATTCCTCGGAAATATGACCACGTGGAAAATAGTACGCTTACAGTATACTATTGTATCAAAGTTTTTACTCTGATAGTGAATCATATTTTTTTGCTATGATTTTCAAATTGTCTTTTTCTTAAATTCCTTTATGCAATTTTCTTATATTAAAAGGAATTATAACCATTATTTTTCACATATTATTTCCAAAAATTACATCATTGATATATAATTTAAGAAATACTAGGGCTCCAAATCTTTAACAAAAAAAAAAAAAAAAATAGAGTAAAGTTTCATAGTCAATCAAAGTATTAGATATGATTAACTATAGTTACTAGTACCTATAATTATTTTGGGAGGGACTTTGCATATATGGACGTTAATCTAATTATGTTACCAGTATTGTTCCTAAAAAAAAAAGAGAAAATCTAGGAGCATTGAGTGCCAATATAGCTCACAGCTTCAAATAATTTCTTGCTGACACCCATCCCCTAGTAACCACCAACACAAAATACAAATACTTGTACTGCTTTTGCTCCTTAAAAATTATTTTTCACATAGCTATTTCAAACAGGAATTAATAAAATGTGAATTATCAAACTTCAAAATACTTGTTCACAGTCTCTTTATCTAGCAACATCTGAAAAATGTACTCCCCATTTCTAGTGCTAAGTAACTTTTCTAGATTCAAATTCTCTCTGCACCCTTGACCATCCGAAATATGCTTGCAGAACCTTCACGACAACAAGTTTAGCTGAACTGGCAAAATTATCATGGTTTTCAAAAACAAAATCCACCATGTTTTCTAACGTAAACTTAACAAATCGTATAGCTTGGTGCTCGAATTTGTCTTTGGGACCACCAGAAAAACGGTCTTTTAAATTATCTGCATTTATACGATTCTTTGGCTTAATTCTTTCATCTGTTAGGTCTACGAATCCACAAAGTCCCTATTCGTGGGTATCGGTTTTTAGATAAATTGTGGTCAAGCAGACTGCCTCTGCTTCTGAATCAGTCAGTTCGAGACCAAGTTCTTCGCGCAGACCACGAATCGCTGTGTTGACCAGATTCACTCTATTTGACACACCTTCATCTTTGTCCTTGTCTTCTTTTTCTTTGTTTTCCTCATCTCTTTCGTCTTTATCTTCTTTTTCTTCTGCTTTCTTCTCTTCGTGTCTTTCCTGGATATCCGGGGTAGATGCACTTTCAACAGCTCCGCACGTAAAAACTCCCGGGGCAGACATCCCTGTGCCCTTTGCTCGCTGGGGAAAAACAAAATATTGAGGTTTTCCTAAACCTTCGTTCGTCATAATGGCCACATGTAGTCCAAACGTATTGCTGAAGAAGGGATTAACATCTGACTTGTTTGGAAGGATTTCCCGCTTTTCCTGATCGTTCAGGCTCATCCAGATGTCTCTCATAGCTCTGTGATGAATATATTCCGACTATTTAAAAAACAGCTCGACTCTCTGGCGCTCCCCTTCCTCGTCGGGACGCGAAAATGCTAGACGTTTCAATGCTACTGTGGGGTTGTTATCGATAATTTTTTTATTTGCTTGCCTTTTAAATTTATGATAATTTTCTGTATATTTTTCTTCTTTGTCCCAGTTTTTAAATATATCCCTAAAGGGGGGATCCCTTACTTTGATTAGACAGTTCAAGTCTTCGTGTTTATATCCACATGGGCGCTTTCCAGATTTGAAATATCCGATCTGGTTGGCATCTTCTTCAGTGCAAGAATCTGCCACAAAAATGTCAGTCTTATCCATGAATCCACAAGAAAAGAGTTCTTTTTCATCTGCTTCTGAGTAATACGGGTTAGTTCCATCGTAAAATTTTTTTATCACATCTTCAGCATCTGGTCTTTTTTCCGGTGTCTCGTTCAAGCATTCTTTGATGGATTTTCCTACCAAGTCTTTGGGATCGTTTATGTATTTCTTTGGATCTGGTGGTGTAGTTTTTTGATCTACTAAGCAACTTGTCGAAAAGTCAGCAAACGGTTTCAGGCCAGAAATGGTGAAGAGCATCACGAGACCGAAACAGTAAACATCGCCTCTTTTGAAAGCAATCAGATCATGGTGAATCTTATCTTTCTCTTGAGATGATCGAAATTCTGGTGGTTCCCACCTTACATGTAATTTTTAGTC